TTCGGTTTCCATCCTCCAAATAGAGATCCTGTCAATGTTCTACCGTTAAGAAGAAGTCCAAAATGAGCTGTTACCTCCGGCTTCTGCTTGGGTACTCCAAGTGTGACAGTCAAGCCCCATCCCTAACACAAATAGGAGACGACAGAAAATCGATGGTAAAAAGAGAGAAATGTATGTCTGTGAGAATACCAAAGAGTACATGAAATGACGTCTTAATACTTACATCACAACAAGACTGCAAAGCAGTGGTAACCATTCCTGTATCTCCAATACATTCAAATGCATAGTCAGCACCTCCACCAGTTAGGCGATTTATAACCTGGAGTGAAAATAGTATTCGGAGTTTATGAAAGGAAACACACAACCTGAGCATGAATAGAACTAGTCCATTTTGTATGCTATTTAAAAAGTACTCTACAAATTTATCCCTTATAAGAAGAACGAAATTGAGGTGAGGTTACACAGGATTGCAGTGCATAAATTGAGACAATTCAAATATAAAACATATGATTAAAATATGATGTTGAAATTGTGGAGTACTACAGAAGTGTTATGCAATGCGAAGATACTTATCAAAGTGAGAGACAAGTTTAACAGAACATCAGTAAGACCAGCAATTTAAAGAAGAGTGAATGTTGGGTCTCTAATGGCAAACCCTCCATAAAATGAGTGTTGTACAAAGCAGATGTTTATATGGAAATGTGGTCATACAAGATTGAAAACAATTATCACATCCAGTGAATGTGTAAGTAGCACACGCAGAGGACAAAATAAGAGAAGGTCGTCTGGGATGATCTGATCACGTACTATGTAGATCTCCAATGTACCAGTTTGTAAGTATGATACCAGGAGTTAAAAAGGGAGGGAATTAGTCTAGGTCGTTTTGGGTTTGAGAGAGGCGTCTTGCACTTGACAATGGAACTAATTTCTCTCTTCTCATCAAGCAGACCTAAGACCACCTAGAAGGAAATTGTCTTTATAGACCAACGACCACTAAAATGTAGTCTTCACGGAACACTTAACTTTAAGGATGCAAAAGACCCATATAAGCGATACCAACTAGTTGGATTAGAGATTAATCATATTGGTAAACTCATATTAGGTCTAGTATTTGCTAGAAGTCTGTTTAATCTGTTTAGAGATTTGCACCATATACAAATTAGAAACTGCAGAAAACTTCTAGCATTAGATAATCCACAAATTATTGCGTATTTCAATGAAACATATCCAAACACAGAAAAATGGATAATGAAAATTCATATTGTCGGCCTAACTAGCGTGATACTAAGATGTAGTAATTGTTGTTGTAATGCTCCCATGTTGTTTAAGACAGCTAACATGATTGTTAAGGCTTGTGACTAATTAGCTGGGAGAAAGAAACTAATTTACAAGCTTTTGTTGTATATTTCATGAAAAGTAAAACACCTGTGGAATGGGTTCATCAGTATCCTTTGGGTTCAAAAAGTCCGTCACTCCAAAAGCCTTTGCTGCACAGGAAGGGAAGAACATCAATAATCTAGGGAAACTTTTCAACTTTCCAACTGCTGTAAAAGGTCTGTCATGTGATACCTTTTTCACATTTCTCTTGCATCATATCCACACCAATAATCTGAGATGCTCCCCGCATTTTAGCACCTTGTGCAACCTATTAACACGATATCTAAGCATTTTATTATTTATCATTGTCAAGTTTTTCCAGGAAAACAGTTTGCCCATATTATGCTAACTCTCAGCTTGGATCAGTGTACTTACAGAAAGTCCTACAGTCCCAAGACCAAAAATGACCACCTTTGATCCTTCAGAGATATTTGCAACCTTCCAAGCAGCACCCAGACCTAATCATTGCATTTCAATTATGAGGTCCTTATAATGCTACATTTGGAATGTTCTGAACAACAAGTTAACATTATGGATTGCTAAGCTATACAGATATAAATAGGTTTAGTATGAATGTAACATCTAAGAGCTAAAGAAGGATTTAACCTTTTGACAGAAACATTTTAAACAACAAGACTGTCTATGATGCCATCAAGTAAGAATACTCTTGATCAAACAAAGGTAAGTTGAATACTAGTTGTCTTTCATCTCAAAAAAATCCTCTTTGATGTGAATGGGTTTAGCATCTACAGTTAAGTAAAATCATACATGTATGATGAGGAATTGAGAAAACCATTTCCATAAGAAAGGGGTAGCTAAATTCCATAATTGGGTCAAGAGTTTTTAACAGCAAAAGAATCTTAAAAGTAGTAAAGTACTAGTATAAAAAGATCAGCTGCGATTGAATTGAACAGCATTCCACAAATTACCTGCTGCCGCTCCACAACTAAGGAGGCAGATTTTATCCAAAGGCGCAATCGGACTAACCTTGACCGCACAACCAGAGTGTACGACTGTGTATTCACTAAAACTTGAAACAGCACAATAATGATAAACTGGCTTTCCTTTTATAGAGAACCGCGTCTTTTGATCACCATGCATAACACCATCTCGTTTCAATCCAAGAACTTGGCAAATGTTGCTTTTGCCTGAGGTACAGTGTCTGCAACTCATGCATTCCCCAGTAAATAAGGTAAGCACGTGGTCCCCTTCTACAAATTCAGTCACTCCTTCCCCAACACTCTCAACAATCCTGCAAAATTAGTAACAAGAATGAAGCTTGATTGCCTGTTCAGAAATGACAAAATATTGAATCCATCAACCACGTCTGTTGCATTCCAAGGTGGCAGCAGAAGTTTGCGGTATGTTCATTTTACTCTATGGGGTACACTAAGTGATGCCAGAGTCTATGATGGAAGGCTTTTCTTATGGACAGAGCATCTGATGAGTAAGTCAACTAAGACGCTTAGGGTGATGAAACCGAGAGATGAAAGCATTAATGCTTGCCAAATTGAGAACTCCAACACAGAATAACATTTGTACTTTCTCACAACGTAACCATGAGTCCCTTGGGGAGAAGCATTATCACCTCGAGACATGTACCAAAACTATGAATTATCTCTTAAACTTTCCAGTATGCATTTAATGTCTTCTATCAGAAGCAGGATACATACTTAAACTACACACAAGAAGCATTATCGTTCAAATAGAAGGAGAAGGTATAGAAAACTGACCCTGATGCTTCATGACCAAATATCCGAGGATAAATAGAAGCCTGAGCCTGGAAAACGACAACAAATTTCACAAATGGGCGTGAATATTTGAAGAATAAGAAAGTAATTCTGGTAGATTCCTCTCAAAGAAGTATAAAACTTGCCAAAATGAGAAAAAAGAGTAGATAAAGTGAAAATAGTGGCCAAGATTGAGCCTTTACTGTTTTACATGCCCTCATCTACCCTCCACCCCCTAAAATTTCAGGATTTTACTTTGGAAAACCCACAATGAGATTGAATTGAACTATTTTCTGCAGAAACCCAAATGAGATTCAGATGAAACTGCAATCTTGAAAAGCTTGATAGTTTTTTAAGCTAAAACCCTCACTATATCTCTAATAAAGCAGACCATTTCCAGTAGGTTATTCTTCACCCTTGTCGTAGCCTTGGTGGATAGAGTTATCTTGTACATGTTGCTAGTAGGAGGTGGAAGGTATCCCGCGGAATTAGTCGAGGTGCGCCGGACACCATGGTCATAAAAAAAAAAAAAAAAAAGGTCCAAGATTCCCCACATTGAGCACCCAATAATATATTTGCAAAAATAGTTCCTCTTTATTATGATCAGCAAATTTTATAACTTCAATAGGCATATAAATTTCCTTCTATGCACATGAAACGACAAGTTACCAAGCATTTTGTTTTTGACATTTAAGTGGCACCTAGTAAATGCAATCCTAAAATTGGCAATAGATAGTTGATCTATGGGGGAAACTTTGAGATAAAGTAAAGATCAAACCTGTGACAACCAAGCAGTGACATCGCTGCGACAGAGAGAAGTACAGACAACCTTAACACGAATCTCCATTGACTGAGGTGGACTCAATTCCACCTCCTCTATCATCATTGGTTCTCCTGGTCCCCATGCCACAGCAGCTGAATGGAATGGATACACACAAGTAAAACTAAATGGGGTTCATTCAAAATCAGATTCTTGATAAAGAGAGAAGAAGAAAGTGAAAAAAACAAATAAAGGGTATTCAAAGATGCAACCTTTACAGGTGATGACACCTGGCTGCTTGTTCTGCACTGAATCAGTAAGGGACATTTTCTTTTAACTTGTACTCAAATCAAATGAAGGAAGGATTTGGACTTAGTTTTTGTGTTGAAAGACTTGAAGGAGAAGAGTAGAGGTATAAGTTCATGGGTTGGTGGATAGGTGAAGGTTGTGTTGTTAGGTACTTTGGGTTGGTTGGTAACAAATCCTAAATGCACTAATTGATTTGACTCGTGAATATTTTGGGTAAAAATGAATAATTATGATAATTTTTCAAAATAAATATTAAAATATACGTAGTAATGATCATAGAAATTTCACATGTATTATCATAATTGAGTGGAGTTTTCTTTTCAGTTTTGGTTTCAAACGATGTTTACATTTCCATCACTTCATCTTTTGTTATTTGAACAAGTCTGAAAAAATTACTTTGCAAAATTTTTCAAGAAAAAGCCGACAAATTGCAACAAGATCTCCCATTGAAGTTAAAACTTTTAAACTTCTAAAAATATAGGTGCACTTATATAAGATTTTCCAACCATCTAATTATGGATGTGGCAGGATGGATGAAATTCTTCCGTCTTCAATTAGAAGTATCAAGTTCAAATCTTGAAAATGATTAAATAAGGGATGAAATTAACTAAAAGAATGAGACGCTTGGGCCTCGTTGTGAATGGAGCAAAACAATACCAAGAGAACGTTCGTCCAATCCAAGAAATCATCATTATTCACTTAAAATGAGAATTTATCACATGCCATGTAACATAACAATTCACAAACTCATCGTCTGAATATAAAAAACATTTTTGCAAGCTATGAGAACAGCTTTCCTACTCTTTTGAGACCAAGAATATTACCATCATCTTATCTTACACCTTGCTTTTCTGAGTTCAAAACCCAGAAATTATGTTTTCTCAAATGAAAATAAATCAATAATGTTACTGTAGAAATGCAGAGAGCGACGATGAGCAATACATCACAAGTCACTACCATGTAACTATAAGAGCTGTACAAGATGCAAACAATGGGAAGAGCAAAGGACCTATAAAGTGGCCTTGCATGAAGCTTTATTATGTCCAGGTTCCTTGCACTTGCTGCAAGTTACTGTCCTCTTATCTGGGTCTATAGTTTTGGTCTCCTCTGGTTTTTCCTCTATTGGCGATTCTGGAGGGCAAGGGGGTAGCACATCTGCAGTATCTGACTCGCCATCTTCTTCAACTGGTGTTCCAATCCCAGGTATCGGATTTACAGATGCAGAATATGTAAAATGGTAACTTTCAACCGTGAAGTAACTCGAGCAGTAATCATACACACATTTACCAATAGAGTTGAACACAGCCACCGCGTGGCAGCAAGGCAGACCACTTTGTTTCCACTCAAAGCACGTGCACTCACGGTTTTCAATATTCACAACGTGGGTCATCTCATCATGAACTTCAAATAAGACATCAGAAGAGATTAGAACCTTTAGACCATGGGCTTTAGCAGCTTCTTTCTGTATCTTTTTCTCTTTTGATGGAGTAAGTTTGGTGGACCAAGTACTTGACTCCAATTTACGATGATCTATTAGATCACTGAGCATACATATTAAGGCTTCTATCTTTTGCATTATTGTTGATCCTCGAGAATCCTCAATCAACTTGGAGTATGGTTCTGCAACATTCTCTGTGATATAATTATAGTGCTGACCTTTAAATGACAAACTCGTCCAACACTCGGGCTCAATCTGGTTCAACCAATCATATGCGTGTGAACAAATCTGTTTAATTTGCTCAGTCAAACTTTTAAAACCATTAAGTCGGACTGCATGAGCTGCAGCAAGGAAAATTTCAGGTAAAACAGCTCTCCCATCACCATGGAATGGACCCTTCGTATTTCTCTTGAAGCTTTCCAAAAGATGAAAAATAGAATAGCCATGAGAAGAATTCTCGAACACCTCAAGCACAGAGTTCTTTAAATTCTTCTCTCGATCTGAAATAAAAGTTATAGAATGAGAAGTTGATAATGCAGATTTTAGTTGCTCCAAAAACCAACGCCAACTATCATCATTTTCAATATCTATTACTGCAAAAGCAACAGGAAAGAAACAATCATCTGCATCAACCGCAGTTGCTGTTATTAAAGTCTCCTTGTACTTAGATCTTAGAGATGTAGCTTCAAGGAAAATAAGGGGTCGGCAACCGTGCTTGAAACCATGTATGGAGGCATGAAGTGAGAAAAAGAAGCGCTGAAGTCTTTTCTCACCGTCTAGCACAAGCTTAACAACAGTTCCAGGATTAGTATTTACTACCTTTTCGCAAAACCAAGGCAGCCTGTTATATGACTTTGAGTACGAACCTTGAAGCTGCTCCCTGGCATCTTCCATCCCTCGCCATACTTGTGAGTATCTCAATTTAATCCCAAAATCACGCAAAATGCTTTTAGCGATTTCCCTGGGTTTGTCATTTGGAGAATCTCGTAACCTTTCCTTGATGATACTTACCAACCAATTCCTTGTACGATGAGAAGACTTCCAGGATTTGCCTTCACATGTATGCAAATCATTATACTTTCTGATCCTAAATGTTTGAGCATCAGGGACCCTAGATGCATGAATTTTCCAAGAACAACCCTCTACCACACATCTGCCACTTACACGGGTAGCATCATTTTTCTTCAACTTGTAGACAAAGCGATGAGCAACAGCATACTTTTGCAGTGCAGCCCGGAACTCTTTCACACTCTTAAAATCCTGATCAACACCAGTAATACCTTCTTTCCAAGTGGCAACTAGCTTCTCTGGCAGATCTTCATCACGCAAAGTAATTGGAGAGGAACTGTCAAAACTATCAGGTAATTCAACACCATCTTCATCCTCCACCATGTCATTTCCCACCATTACGCCAGTTGAACTTCGACTCTTCTTCTTTCGCAACTTCTCCTTAGAATCACTATCAGTCACAACAATGGTTGGACCATTGGCACCAATTTTCCAGGAAGCAGTGCGCCTGCGCTTCTTCACGGTATCAGCAGGGGTAGCATCGTAGTCAAAGCTAATTGGGCTCTGGGCAGTACTACTAACAGCAGCACGTGAACGTGGAGTATAGTCAGAATCATCCTCAGCAACATGGCCAGAAGAAGGGTTTGACGAAGTAGTGGCATGACTGAGGCTTTCAGCTGCCATATTAATAGCAGGTTCTTGGCAGCTGATATGTACATCGATCAGACAATCGCTTTGAATAGCTATAGGAGAGACAGCAGCTGTTCGAACAGTCCTTAGCAGGGAAGCCTTAGAAGGTGTTGTACTCAGACCACCAGAATCAGTAGCACCTGCAGGTGTGCCATGATGATTTACGTTCTCAGCCAGTTTTAAGCCAATTGTCCTGCAAGTGCAGTTGATTGAGATACAAAGTGGAACGTCAATTACATATATACTACACTACCAGTGATGTGCCATTGACTAAACAATTTGCTTTAGCAGTAATATAGAGTGGCTGGCAACAGGCCCGTGTCACCAAACCACATTTATCAATAAGCAAAACTAATGTATATGTATAATTAAAACATGGTAGTGTTAATACCTCTCAGTGTACGTTTTCAATGCATCGTGATCAAAACCTTCCTTCCCGCTGACAAAAATCTCAGCTGTAACAGAATTAGCATGAAACTCAACCATTCTCTTGAAGTCCTTTTCACTCCTTAAATTAATGAGAGTTTTCCTATTTTTTGGAAGAAAATACTTAATTGACACTGTCGTAAGCTCCAGATTACACAGCTCTGCCAATTTTATCTTGAGATCATCATATGGAGTATCTTGGTTTATATTGACAGCATTTGCCTCTCCTCCTTTATATGACAAGTTCCCATCGACATCATTCACAAATTCACCACCAGACTGACAAATTAAAATAAGCTTTCCCTTCACCATGTCATAAATCTTCAAAGGCCAACAGGAAAAAAGTCAGGAAAAGAAAAACTTAAAAATGACCAGTGTCAATGTTCCTCCAGTAAAGTTATCTTATTTTGTTCATCGTGTGAGATGCCATGTAAGAAGGATGATTCTAGAGAATATGATGCATCAGCACTCATACGAGGAACTCAACTCATTTGAATTTGCATGCATCCAACTTAATTAAGGGTGCAGACATTGCTAATCATCTATTTATCCAAATGACAACAACAACATACCCAGTGTAATCCCACAAGTGCACAAGTGGGGTCCGGGGAGGGGAGGGTGGTGTATTCGCAACCTACCCCTACCTTGTGAAGATAGAGAGGTTGTTTCCGATAGACCCTCGGCTCAAGTATCAAAAAACAAGTATGTAAAGCAAACGCAATAGCGAAGAAGTCATGCTGAAAACAATTAAAAGAGAACAAATGGAAGCAACAAATAATATGAAAACCAAAGCAAAGGAAATAACAGGTAATACTAAAACTAAGAAAAAATATAAGATAGTAGGAAAGTAATAATAACCATACTAAAAAGGGAACTAGACAGTGCTCGATCACCTACTAACCGACCACTTAAAAGCCAAAAGAAACTCTTAGTAGGCATTTGGTCATAGATTCCAAATATTTTTCACTTTGTTTGGAATTTATGAAACTGGAGTGACGATATAGTTGTGTTTGGTAATACTTTTTGCAAAAAATATTTGAAAAAATGTTCATACTTGAATGTACTTAAATACAACTTCAAAAGTGACAAGTGAGTTGGAAACAGGTGAGAAGATGTTCCCCGAATTTGAAATACAACTTCATTTGGGATTTTCATGGCCATCGAGCGCTCTTGCACCGAAGATGAACGGGGCTAAGTGATCTGCCGAAACTGTGGGATGTAAAAATACTTCAGTAAGGGAGCATTCCACCTTAGAGAGAAGCCTCCGCATGAGCGATGGTGGATGAAGCGGAAGAGAGAATGTCGGCTTGTTTAATGCAAACATTGGCAAAAAATTTTGATTTCTATTTAGAGAGATAAAAAAAATTATCGTGATTCATGAACTAATGGACTCTCCAATTTTTTAGTAATTGAAAATTCGAGGTTGAAATGTATATGTGATATTGCTATAAAGTGCATATTATTGATTTTATTTAATGATAAAGTTATTAATCAACAAAGCTAAATTAAAATTCTTAAAAGATGATATCATTCATAACTCATAAGAACTTATTTATTTGTTCTAAATATAGCAGACAGAATTCCATTGGTCTAATTTGGGACCTTAGGATAGAATTTGACACTTTTTGACAAACATATCAAGATAGGAAAGGGCCCATAGGTTAATTTGTGACCTCTAAAGAGCTGTATGAAGTGAAAATCTCACATATGGTTTCATATTAGTGATGGGCATAGTGATGTTATCATCGATTATGATACTGAAGTTCAAATAAAGTGAAAAATTATCCCGGAAAAAAGTGAATAATTTTTATGGCCAAACAGGTCCCTAATAAGTACTTTAACTGCCAAACAAATTTGGTGGAAACCTTGAGTGACTCAATCAGCGAACTGAGGTATTCTAGGATATTCTGATTATTTTTATCTAAGGTATTATGATGATTCTCAATTCTAAGGATGTTTAGTATCAAGAAGAACTTTAATGTCTTTCTAATAAAAACAGTTTCGCAAAATCATAATCTTACATTCTTCCAATATCTCCTTTACTCCGTATCTAGAGAAATATGATTCTCACATAACTGCACAGAAGCGTTTAGAGGAGTCACCTAATTAACAAAGTTTAAATCTTGTTCACCAACATAAGCATGACTAATGAATAGTGGAAAGGTATGTCTGCTTTAAATATTTTAGCTCCTCTAGAGGGACGATATTAGTTTCGAAAAAAGGGCAAGCTTACAAAATTATTGTGAGTAGACAAAATCTTAGAACATTTACTCTCTTTTCTTTTTTGTTGTATATGTAAATAGAGAATCTAAACTCCTTAAATATCACTTGTTGCAATATAGAACTTAAAGGAAAAGCAACAACATACCCCGTGTAATCCCACAAGTGGGTCTGGGGAGGGTAGGATGTACACAGACGGCAGACCTTGTCTCTACCTTTGTGGGGGTAGAGAGGCTGTGTCCGACTCAAAAGAAGTGCAATTCAATCACAATTTTATACTCTTTCATTTTCCTATGAAGTAGTTGGAAGATTGAAAATGATGAACACTGTATTCATCATTCAGCTGATAAAAATACTACTCCTAGCATGCCTAGTTTGTATAAAAACAGGAAAAGACTAAAACTTCATCCATACAAATACATAACGCAAACAATTCAAAAGCAGAATTCACCCCCAGCAAGTTGGTTACCTTCAAGCAGAATCTTCCGACAATGTAAGACAGCAAAACAAAAACAAAAAAAAATTGCAAATTTACTGCAGATATGTATACAATTAAAGCGATAAAAGAGAGTAAACAGAGCACCATAAACTTACCTGAACCTGTAATTTAGGAGAAGGAAGACGGAAATTGAGAAGGAAGGAAGACGGGACTGAGAAGTGAAAGAAACCCTAGAATTGGGGGGGTAGTATTTGAATTACGCCTAAAATGAGAGAGTGAATAGGTGATGAGACAAAGCAAAAGATGAGGGGGTCTTACGGAAAAAGTAATAGTTTGTGGGGCAACATGTATAAATTAATTAGTTAGCGGGGCAAGAAGGAAAATATTAATTAAGTACATGAAAGTAGTTTTTTAAGGAACTTGCTATATTTTCTCAATCTTGGAATTAAATGTACACTTTCCACTTAAACAAAAAAAAAGTCAACCTTCATATTTTAATACTATACTCCCTCCGGTCACTTTTATTTTTTATTATATATATTGCTCCAATCACTTTTGCTATATCAAGAGAAAAATAAATTATTTTTAATAGTTTATTCTTAATACTAATAATTTATTTTTAAATTTAAGACTAAATATCAATTAATATAAATATTATGATACAATATACATCTCAAATAATATTTTTTAAGAAGTATGCATAATTCAAATTGGACAATTAAAACAAAAATACTTACTAACATTAATAATACATACTCAAGACTCATTTTAAGTATCTCCTAAGGTTTTAGCATCATAATTGGAAAAATCATTTAATAACACTAATAGTAATTGTTAGTAGTAGTTGACTAAATTATCATTTACTTCCTCCCACCATTTTTATTACATTAATAGTAATTGTTAGCAGTAGTTGACTAAATTATCATTTACTTCCTCCTGCCATTTTTATTAGTCCATGTTTGACTTGACATATCCTTTATAAAAAAAATATTAAAACAATAAATTTACTATAATTTTTTTGAATATAATAAATTTAATGTTCTAAAAAATGCATTAAAAATATATCGTATTTAGTAATGAGAGTAAAATAGGGTTTTTTAAATTTATTTTCCAAATTGAATAAATAAAATTAAATACATTTATTTTTTGTATATTGGATAAACAAAAATGAAGGAAGGGAGTATCTCTCCTAAATCATAATAATTGTTGAGAGGCATTACAATTTAACTAATTTTAAAGTTAAATTAAATTAGATTAATTTAATATTTTAAATTTTGACGTTTAAAAACGGTAGGAAAAATACTACGTAATCTTTCTCGAGATTCTCATATTAATATAACCAAAAAAAACATCTTAAAATGTTGGTGAAAGTCCATATAGTCGTGACAAGTAAAAAGTGAATGGAAAAGGAGTAAAAAATTTATTTGACTAAAATTTAAAACGGAAAAGATAAAGATCAGAGGCCAAGAAATCTATATGCAAATGGCTTTCAACAACACTCCTCCAAGTTAAACTAAGAGCAAAGGTCAATGTACCTCCAAATGAGTTGCAAAATATTACAATGAGGAACTATGTCTTCTACCCCAATCTAATAAATTCCTGCCTGCAGGTCATTCATGCATCTTCTGACTCTGTAGCACAAAATATGCCCATATAAGAAACACAGATACAATACTATGTGAAATAAAAATATTGCAGGAAGGAATTTGATAAAGATAAGAAAAATATGTCTTTCACCGCTCGAATTAGTTCCATACTTCAAAAATCAAGTAAAAAGAGAACCATACCATGTATTGGTTCCGTGTCGTCCTCCTTGAAAACGCCAAGAGGAGAGCCATGCACCGATAGAAGCACTTCTCCAGTCTTAGGAAACCTTAGAGTTTTGGGTGTCATCCCAACAGATAACGGGTTGTTATTCACCTGTAATTACAAAATAGTAAGAATATGGATGATGGCGTATACTAGTCGAAATTTCAACAACTTGGTTTCATTATGAGGTTTGTAGATATTTTTCTCATGGAAAGTACCCTACATGAACAGCAGCACAGTTAATATTGTTCCCGTAAAACGACATGCTAGTGAAGTCTGATGGCATATCTAAATTACTACCCACTCCGGTGCAGGAAAAAACAAAAACAAATAGATGCTTCATGCTTCTGGGTATACATGTTACATAAACGATTCTATTCAAATGCCTATTAGAAAGTACTGAATGACGCATTCTGCCATAAATACAGAAAAAAAGATGCAGCAAAAAGGTATTAACTATGTGAACTGAGCAAAAGTAATTTGAAGCTACATACATCAGGAGTCTGTAGAGTATCCTGCAGCTCAAACATCTGAGTGTCAGATGGGTCCTCTAAAACCTACAAAAGCAAAATGACAAACAAGGAATAACAAGGAAAGAAAGCATTAAAAGCACTCAAGGGTGTGATTGTGACCTGGTGGTTAATGAAATAGATTGATAACCATGAGGACACAAGTTCAATCACAGCAAAGCAAAAACACTAGGTGATTTCTACCCATCTGTACAAGCTCTGATGGACAGAGTTACATGTTACCTATGTTGGTAGGAGGTAGAAAGTGCCCGTGGAAGTAGTTGAGATGCATACAAGTTGGCCCGAATACCACATTTATTGAAAAAAGAACAAGAACGAAAGCATAAAAATATATCACATGTCAGAAGGATACACCAGCTGATCAATCAAAGAAAAATTAGGAAGATCCACAACTGAAGCTCTACAAAAGCCAGGAGATAAGCCAGTGCAAAGGCCACAAATGACTTTAACCACCCCTCACCTCCACCAGAAAATTGAGATTAAAAAAATCATTAAAAAGAGGTTTCAGATGTACCAACTAGTTTTCTTACTTCCACAAGTTAAAAGCTAGAAATTATCAATCAAATGGAAGTGTGTGTACACAACCAAAGCAACTTGAAATATGGTATTGCAAGATCAATGGCATAACAATTGACCACTAAAATTGTTGCAAATAGTAAATGAACAGCATTACATACAAATTGCTTGATTTGCATGTTTTCAGCACCAAATAGAGTTGTTTTCACTGTCAACATTTAGGTAAAGCAAGTCAGAGAAAATAAACTTCAGCACCTTGAATTTTCAGAAAAGTATGCCAGAGGAGAGACTTAAAGATACCAGATTTGCTTGAAGATTCAAATCCACCCAATGATGGTACTGCATTGGAGCAATCAGGGTAAGCCATGGACAGCCGTCGTAGAAGAGAAACATGTAGATTTCTTCCATTAAATTGGTCCGTGCTTAAATTACCATCAGCCTCTTTTCTTTTCACTTCATGAGTGTCATCCTCGTTCCTAACAACGGCCAGGTTTGGAAGGTTTTCCCTAAAAAATTGCACTACCGGAATATGCAGCTGTTCGTCATTGAATTTCGACCGAAGCAAGCGCATGAGAGATAGTATGTCTTTGATCTCCAAATTATAAATGGCCCTCACTGCAGCACTTTGACATTCAACTGGAAAAAGAATGGAAGAACAATTGAGTTGTCTTAGATAATCTCGGAGATTAAATCACGCTGAATTAATGAAAATCCAAAAAATAGGGACAGAAAAGATATAGCAAAGAACTAGACCAAAAGTGCCTTCATAGCAGTTCAGTAGTCATTTATCATGCTGGCCAGACATAGAAGAACATCCAATAGAATGGCCACTTCTTAATGGACCAGCCATCTGTACGGTAAACAAAGTTAATACATCCTCTGGGATAAAAAAGATAGATGATACTTTGTTCAACATTTTGAGAGATATTGCATCAAAAAAAGAATGGAACAATAGTGAAACATTTTGAGAGATATTGCATCTAAAAAATGGAACAATAATGAAACATTTTACGAGATATAGCATGTATGGGGCAGTAAGCTAAACACCATGTTAAATTAAACATTAATTAGGTAACCAAGCTAATCTAAAAGTTAATGTCCACTTTATGAAATCAATGGATAATTTTACACTTAGTTCCTAATTTATCCTTATCAATACTTATAGTCATTTCCCTATTTCATTTTTCAAGACATTGTATTTATTATATTCAAAGGGTGATATAGTAAAATTACACTTTTATTTATAGTTTATTAAGAAGTGTGCAAACTCAATAGTGAACAAGTATTATTGGACAGAGTGAATATATTTTTTCTGCTTTCAGCATATTTTGTTTCTAAGATACATGATACTCTTTTTTTATAAACTTTTTTACTTTTTGGCATAGCTCAGAGATAAACTGACATAATATTTAATTACATGCTAAGTTGAACAAAATTCACAAGAAAATAATACCTTCCTCCTTGGATAAAATATCATCTTCCTTTTCCACTTGATGCTTCTCCTGATTAGCATTCTCCGAGATTTTTTTATTCTATTTGCAAGCTCTTCCACTTCGTTTGGGCATTGATTAGAGAATTTTTCTGCGCACATTTTTTCTCCACTAAGCTAATTAGCACACTAATAATAAACATATGTTTTGACTCATCTAGGACTTCTCGTGACAAACATGAAGTATGTTCAACTAAATATGAATCACTTACTACATTTTGAATCAATATTCAACACATAATCATGAAAGAAATGCATACATTGTTGAGAACTAAATTTTCAGTTAATAATTAGTAATGAATTCAAAAAATGTACCTTCACCTCGATTTCGCCGGAGAGAGTGGTGTCAGTTGGCCGTCTGTACTGCCGCTGGAGAGACTACGACTACGGCACAAACAAGGCAATCACTAACCTTTATCCAATTTGCCAAATTATAAGCGGAAAGGGTGACAATTCCTACTTAAAATCTTTTCTACAGACTGTGAAGGGAAGGAATAATGGATTTGGGGAAGGTAAAAGAAATATGTAAAATTCAAATCAAAATCCTACTCTTTTTTTTCCTGAAGGTGCCACGTATACCTGCTTTGGACAATTTCTTTGGCAAAAAATTAGAGAAATGACGTAAAGAGCAAACATATTTATCCGAAATAGCTAGTTAAGAGAGAGTTTAGTTTTTTTTTTTTTTAAAACTTGGAATTGCATCGATTCTCTTTATATTAATGTATCAATTTATTCCTTGTGTATTGGATTCGGATAAGAGCAAATTGATGCAAAGGGAATGGAAACATTGTATTGCAAGTTTCTTAAAATTAAGTATGTTTGATAATTAACTAACTATCTATGATTGATAATTAGAGCTCAAACTATCTTTATTTTTGCAACTTCCTCAATTT